AGCTATCTCACCAAGTGTGTTCCTAGGAAGTCGAATTGCTTTCTATAAACCGAATCTTCCTCCCACATGTTTAATCGCAACAACCTCTTGACCAAAGTCAATCTTTGATTTCGAAAACTGTTTTGATTTTGAAAAATAAGCGCAGAGATTGAGAGAGATATTCCGAAGATATTAAGGGCCTGTTTCAATTCTCCCGTTGAAATTGAGTCATCGCGACATCTCTCGGCTTATGAAAAGTTTAGCTAAGCATGACAAAAGTCATACTTAACATTTGAAAACAAAGCTTGAAAAATAAAAGAAAAATGAAAAGAACTTGAAAAGTAAAAAAATAAAGCTTTTATAAAAACTATAGAGAAAAGAATATTGTAATTCGAATGATGAGTTTAGGCTTACCCCAAGTGGGTCTTTATAGCCCCTCAAAGCCTAAGGGATAAACAAATAAAATAAATAAAATAATCCTAAGATAGTTGTTTTTTAAATTTAAATTCAAACTCAAACTAGTCTCCTAATGCAACTTTGCTTGTCAATCTTTCAGAAGGTGTGCGGAGGAAGTCTTCTAGAAATCGTCGCTGACTGGACCTTCTAGAAACTGCCATGTCAGACCGCGTCATGCCCAGAGTCGTGCCCATGTCTCCAGCCGTGACCAAATAAAAAAAATGCAAAATGCGCCCGTTTTGTTACTAATTCTGGAAAGTAAGGACCTGCACGAAAACAAACATAACACGACCAATTTAGCAATAATAATTCCTCAAAACCGAAGAAATAACGAGCAAAGATTAACGATTCTGAACACTCATTAAAAGTCAACTTTGTTTTTCCGATCAATGTGTCTAGATCATAGTTTCCTTATATGGGTGGAATTGTGAATTTTTGTTCCACTCTTTGTGTAGTACAAAATATCTTGAGAAACACAACATTCAAGAAACATGTAAAGTGGAAAAATAAAATCAAAGAAAACAAGAAACCTCACAAATCATCCAAGAAAGTAATACACCGAGAGGCAAGTTAGCCGATCTTGTACTATTTAAATTCTCTTACCAAGAAGCCTTTCAATGTTCGTTTCTAAGTTCAATCTCTAACAAAAACGAAAAAGAAACACTTAGTAGCTCTGAGAAGACAAACAAAGGGTAAGACTCTAATTGAAGGAGAATACAAGGAAAAAGAAGTATACAAACTCTTTTGGTATTACTAACAAAAGAATAAGAATGTGCTAGATTATGTAAAGAAATAAGAAGAGAAAAACAAAAGAACCTAAAGCAATAAGAATAAAAAAATATAAAAACCAAACCCCCAAACCCAAAAAAACTAGAAAACGCAAGATCAACTTGAGTAACGTGCTTGAAGGGGTTTTCGATTTTCAAACAACCTAAAATTTTATGTAGAGTTAAGTCTTTTAGTGTAGAAGTGCCTGTAAAATTTCAGCCCAAAATACCTTCATTAGTATATTGATTTGATCATTTTTTGTCATTTTTTCTTGAACACCATGTTTGAAGGGGTTGTTGATGTCTAATTGATTTGATTGTTTTCTTGTAAATCAATCTTATGATGGAGAATATTCTCATAAAATTTCAGATCAAAGCTCCTTTAATATAATTTTTTAACGAAGAACCCTAATTTTTTTAAACAAACTTGAACGATGCTTTTGAGGGGCCTGTTTATGTTTGATTGACATGAATTTTTTTACTAGAGATCACTCTTATGATGAAGAATGTAAGTATAAAAAATCAGCTCCAAATTCCTTCGTTTGCATTTTCTAGGATTTTTTGTTTTTGTTTTTTCTCTCGTTTTTTCCTTTGTCTTATATATATATATATATATTTCTTTTCTTTTTTATGAAAAACAACAAACTAACAAGATGGAATTGAAACAAAATTAAAATAATGCAAAAAAGAACATGAATATAATCAATCGTTGGGAACTGGTTCCGTAGGGGTTCCTTAAAGTTTATGTGAGCAAGAACAAGCAAGATTGCTTGATTTCCTACAAGAATCGATCCAAATTTGATACCAAAGTGATAGGAGATGGCAGCATATAGATGAATGTTGCTCGTAAACGAAGAATCAAACCTAAGTGTCTAGACTCAATCAAGGAATGAAATGGAAGATGGATTAGATTGCTGTCACAATCTAGGGCTTTGAATAGGAAGAAAATTGATGGGAAATTAAAATAAGAACACAAGACTAAGATTAAGACAATGAAGATTAATATAATGAAAATAAACAAAGACGATGAATGAATAGAGATAATAATACTTAGTCAAAATTAGGGTTTTATTGCGAAGGGCGATAATGGTGATTTGACAATGATGATGATGATGATGGTGATTGATAGATAACTATCATAAAAACCTTCCTAACTGAAATTAACTAGACAAACTCGATAATTAGCTCTTATCAGCTCTCCTAATCGCAATGAGAAGGCAAATCAGAGTGTGAAGATCCCCCTCACGAGCAACTTGAAGAACTTTATGATGAATAATGCTCTGAAGACACAAGGTAATCAACACTTGCAAAAATATTCTCATTTTCACGGAATATAAATAACCTAAAGAAATCTCATTTACAATGGTGAATGGAGCGGAGCGCCTCCTTTATATAGCGGAGGAGTTCCAAAATCCTAAGTAACTAATGAATAAAATAATAACTATAGATAATATTTTATTCTAATTGCTAATAAAATAATAAACCTAATTTTAAACTATAACGAAGCTTCCTATATTAAATTATATTACAAATAATCAATAAAATATTGAAAATTTGTAATATTTACAAAATCTCGTATAAGAATTTGTCCATGTGTTGTCTTCACTAAAATGAGTGTATCTTGAGTTCCCGACATGAGATTGACGAATTTCAAGTACCATTGAAAATTTAAGAGACAACCAGTCGTAACTCTAGAAGACATGTTGACAAAATAACACTTGGATCACATTCAAAAAGTCGTTGCAAGTCTCCTATTGTTCTAGTCTTCCTTTCCAAGGCTTGGATATGTGAATCAATCGGACGAATTAGCCCCTCCTCCTTTGATGTGAGCCTCATGGTGCATGTATCTCTTCAGATAAAAACAAACCTTGTGTTTCACACTAGAGCGAAACACATTGAAATCTACTGCCATTTTGTGAGGGACAAACTGCAAGAAAGAATAATTTCAACTGAATATGTGACTATCTCGGAGCAACTTACAGATATTTTAACAAAAAAGTTTAGGAGTGCAGCAACATAATATTTTGTAGTCCAAGTTAGAGTTCAAAGATGTATTTATACCCCGACTTGAGTGAAAGTGTTGGAGAGTAAGATAGTGCAGTTAGTTAGTTCTTAGTTTGTTAGATAGTTATTAATAAACAAGTCATTCAGATGAAGTATATGAAGTTTACACATTCATATTTAATATAAATGAATTTGTGTAACGCATGATACATTTTATTCTTTAAGAAATAATTTGGCAAAGAAACTTAAAACTAGCTGGTTCATAAGCTTCTATATTTCATTAACCATGAGATTATAACAATTTAAACCTGCCTCCGGTGGAGAAGTGACCCAAAAGTTGCATCATGCTTAGTTCAAACCATGAGTGATGAAGGCTACGATTGAGGACAGAAAGATTCTACATCTTTTTCTAGTTAATCTGGTTTTGGTCGGAAAGCTAAAAAGAATAATTCATCACAGTCTGTGGGAATCAAACCTACAACCATCGCTCTACCAATTGAGCTAAGACGGCATCTGATCGTCCTAAGCAATTCTTGTTCTCGACCGACAAGAAAACTTTTCAGAAGCTTAAGTTCCCAGACAATTGTAATAAAGCACCGACTAAAACCAAATCCAAAAGCTCATATTGGGCAAGACCAATCCCTTTAAAAGCCCATCGTCTTCCAAAATCAATGAGTTGAATGCCCATGAGCCCATGCTTTTCCAAAAAAAAAATAAACTATAGAGTTGATGACTTTTATTTAATTTTTTAACCTATGGACTTGATTCAGAAACGTCAATACGTGGTCACTTTTGTTTCAATTTAATTAAGACGTCGTCATTGAGACGTTAGTTGTCGTGAGTTAGATGATGTGGCACGTTAGTAAAAATGTTTAATGTTTAATTTTTAATTTAACCCTTAAACTTGAGATAAATTACTAATTATGGTCTTTTTGTAAACCCAAAATAGTTTAGGGATAGAATAAAAATTTACCCATTCTTCCCATATGTTTATCAACAAATTCGAAACCTCCACGCTTCACCCCCTTCCACGACGGCGACGGGGATGTTCACACCGTTTGAATTTGGATCGCAAGACGTTGGGGAGCACATGGATGGTGGTGGTAAGGCCTAACGGTGACTGGATCGGCTGAAATTTGTTGATAATAGTGCGGTGGTTTTGAGATCTCCGACAGAACTTCGACGAGCTTTCCACACCGAACGGCAGTGGCTCACGGGAAACTCTCAACGAGGCTTTGATCACTGTGATCAGGCACTCACGAAGACATCGATGGTGACGGTCATCGACAACTGATCGATGGAATGGTGATATGATTAAAATAAAATTTGGGGGTTTGGTTTTAGGCATTTTCCATTTCTGATTTGAGAATAAAACATACGGGGAAAAGGGGATTAATTGATTTTTATCACTAAATTATTTTGGATTTACAAAAAGATCCATAATTAGTAATTTATCTCAAGTTTAAGGATTCAAATAAAAATTAAACATTTTTATTAATGTGTGACATCATCCAACTCGTGACAACTAACGTCTCAGTGACCATATCTTAATTAAAATAAAACAAAAGTGACCATGTATTAACATTTCTAAATCGAGTGATTATAGGTTTAAAAAAATGTTCTAGATAGAGTGACCATAGGTTTAAAAAAATGAAACACTTCCATAAGGAAGACATTGGAAGTTGAAAGCAACAGCCAAGTAGCAAGTAATATAGTAAGAACCTCCAGCATTCTCCCCAAAGCTTCCCTCTCATAGCCTGAAGGAACAAACTGGTAACAAGTGATTCAGAATCCATGTCCGGTTATAATAAGGAGAAACCAAGAACAATCAGGCTTTTCTGTCCTTCAGTATCGAAGCTTGTTCGGTTCGTGGCTTGCGATAGCCAGAAACTGGACCTTGGCTCCATATCTCGATTATTCGGCCTAGACCCATCAACGGTAAAACTCAATGGCCACTTTATAAGCCGAGGGGTTGATCTTGTTTCTTCTTCTGTTACTTGGAGGTCACTGCTCTCTTTCTTCTCTTTCAAGGGCTTGTCAACTGGGATTGATGGTGATCATAAGGGCGCTCTCATTGTTGATGGCAAGCTTTGCAAAGTTGGGACTAAGAGTAAGTTTGTTACTATTATGTTTACCCATTTTTTCTTGTTTCTTCTTTGGATCCTTTTTTGAAGAGTGTTTTTTTAGGAGCACATGATCCTCAAGATGATGTTAATTTGAGTGGAGATTCAGCTGGAAATACTGGAATAAACAATGTTGGAATTACTGCAAAGCGACACCTGAAATATATTTGCTCGGTTGAAAACAAAAGGTCAAGGGAAAGCAGCTCAACAGGTAAAATATAGATGACAATAATGGGACTTGGTTTTAATCACCTTTTTCCATGGTTATATGAAAGCAGCTTGTTAATCTTTAACTGAGATTGAGCCCTTGGCATACAGGATCCCATGATGGAGGTGAATGCAGTAATGGGATTGGTTCCAAGAGAAAGAGTTCCATAGAGAATCTCAGCTTGCTCAAGAAATTAAAGATTAATGAGACAAACTCATGTTTGTTCAAACCCTTTACCATTGAACAATCATTGAGATGATCTGTTGATTCCTTGGTTCATTTTCCATTTCAACTGATGCTTTTGGTGCTTCATACTGTAGATTTAAAAGGAAGAGGAAAAAAAATGAAGTTAGCCCTGTTTCGAGCACACCTTTCAAATGCAGTTATTTGAGTGGCAACATGAAGAGGGGGAGGGAAGATGAAGTGATTGTAGGTGTACCTTGCAAGAGGATCAGCTCTGGTTGATTCTTTTATGTAACTTGGGGATTTGATTCTTGTAATTTGGTGTAAATGGGAAAGTGCTCAAAAGTTTTAAGCAATAAACATGAATTTCCTAAACCAGAAACGTACTTTCTGCAATGAAAATCCATTGAAGGGGTAATTTCTGCCTCTCAGCTTTGCAGATAACTTCGATTGTAGCAGACATAGCCGACCAGTTTTCTTGGCAGCTGCAAGCAGAAAAACGATAAAGCAATCGGATCGAAGCTCATGATATTTAAACCATCACAAGTTGCAACCACAAGAACACTATATAATGTAACCAAACCACATAACAAAGGGTTTTTGGTTGCTGCTTGTGATCGAAGAAAAGTAAATTTATAAAGAAAATTGTGGTTTTCGCCATTTCTTCAGATTTGTAATTAAGTTCTTCCAACACAACCGTGCATACCGTCCATCGATGATCCGAGGGGCTTGAAATTATATAATAAACATGAATTATCCATACTTGTCGAATCATGTTAAAGAATGGTAAAAATGAAGAAAAATAAGAAGAAAGAGAATAACAACTACCAACCAGAACAGAATGATCAGAAAACCAGAAACAGGGAGCTAATATAATTGTCAATTAACTTGAAAAGGGAAACGATATTTAAGATTGATTAACTATGATTGAAGTCTAAAACAGAGATGGAGCGAAGGGTTGCACTCGTACCTTAAAATTTTTAAATTTTCTTATATTTTACATTTTTTGTAATTTTTATTAATTATCTAATTTCGTACAATATGATATTTTATAATTTCACTCCCCTAATTTTTTTAATTTAATTTCTTAAGTTTACGTCCTCTAACATAAATTTTTGCGTTCAGGTTCACCTACACAGCTGCTCCACCAACCATGTGGGGCTAAGTACTTGGACGTACACTGATAGACACCACCACTTAGGTGGTGTTTGTTTTTGCAGAGGTAAAAAGTCTGCAGTCTGCGGACCACATCAGCAGGCATCTGCAGCAAAAGAGGTGGACCAAAAGTCTGCAGTCTACAAGAAGAAGACTGTTTGTTTTTTAACGTCTGTAAACTGCTAAAATGAACTGAAATATAAATAAACTGATTTTTTAAACTTAAAAAAGTTTTGCAATACTGAGATTTAAATAATTTTATTTTACAATACTGAAATTTAAATAATTCATACAACTACAATAATAAATTATTTAAAATAAATCAATCTATATTTTAAAATAAATCAATCCATACTAATAAATTATTTAAAATAAATCAATTCATACAACTACAATAATAAATCAATCCATATTTTAAAATAAATCAATCCATACAACTACAATAATAAATCAATCCATATTTTAAAATAAATCAATCTATACAAATAAATTATTTAAAATAAATCAATCCATACTAATAAATTATTTAAAATAAATCAATCCATATTTTAAAATAAATCAATCCATACTAATAAATTATTTAAAATAAATCAATCCATATTTTAAAATAAATCAATTCATACTAATAAATTATTTAAAATAAATCAATTCATACATCTACAATAATAAATCAATCCATATTTTAAAATAAATCAATCCATACTAATAAATTATTTAAAATAAATCAATCCATATTTTAAAATAAATCAATTTATACTAATAAATTATTTAAAATAAATCAATCCATACAACTACAATAATAAATCAATCCATATTTTAAAATAAATCAATCCATACTAATAAATTATTTAAAATAAATCAATCCATACAACTACAATAATAAATCAATCCATATTTTAAAATAAATCAATCCATACAAATAAATTATTTAAAATAAATCAATCCATAAAACTACAATAATAAATCAATCTATATTTTAAAATAAATCAATCCATACAAATAAATTATTTAAAATAAATCAATCCATACTAATAAATTATTTAAAATAAATCAATCCATATTTTAAAATAAATCAATCCATACAAATAAATTATTTAAAATAAATCAATCCATATTTTAAAATAAATCAATCCATACTAATAAATTATTTAAAATAAATCAATCCATATTTTAAAATAAATCAATCCATACTAATAAATTATTTAAAATAAATCAATCCATATTTTAAAATAAATCAATCCATACTAATAAATTATTTAAAATAAATTATTTAAAAATAAATCAATCCATATTTTATAATAATTTATTTTAAAATAAATTATTTTATAATAAATTATTTTATAATAAATTATTTTAAAATAAATTATTTTATAATAAATTATTTTAAAATAAATTATTTTAAAATAAATAGCCTTATTAAATTATTTAAAATTATTTTAATAAATAATTATATTTTATAATTGTTCTTGAAGATGTTTGAAGACCTTTGAAGACATAAAACCAAGTCTGTACCAAGAAGAGCTCGCGCAGACTTTTGAAGAGCTTCTGTCTTCTAAAAAACAAACAGTCTGCGAAGCCTAATGTTTGCGCTTGGTCTGCGCGACGCAGACATAAGTGGTTTGAAGAGCTTGCACAGTGAAAACAAACACTACCTTACTAGATGTTGCAAAAGTTTACACATGACAAACTGACAACAATGGTTATATTTAGTTCTTTCCAAAAAAAAAAAAAAAAGTTCATGTTTAGGAGAAGAAATATCAGAAGGTTAGCACCTGAAACTTTGACAACAACGGTGACATGTTCAAAGAGTCACCTTATAGCATGCTTGCATGGAAGTGGGGAAAGCTAACAATAGCTGATGGTATTGGTACGTTAAATCCTTGATTAGCATCAGAAGGGGTATTCATCAATGCGTAAAAAGCCCTATTCAGACATATCAAACGAGGATCAACGAAAAACAAACTAAGAAGCACAAATCTTAGTAAAGTTTGGCTCATCATGAACCTCATATTGTTTCCGTTCAAAATTATTGATTGCACTGAAATAGATATTATCTAAAAGCAGAGGATGCCCTAGACTGATAGCAACCGAAAGATTATGAATGAATCTTGAAAGTTAACCTCAAAACCAGCGTGATTTCGTTATCAGCAACCACGAGAGTTTATATACATGTACGACAAAATAACTGAATAACTAATCTTGACTAATGAACCAATACTCTAACATACTTCCTACCCTTTTCTTCCTCTGAGTTTGGTTTTTATCTCGTTATTCTTCTTCTGTTTGTTGATGTAGAAAAATGTTATTAGCATGCTGCAATCTCAATTCATCGGCTGAATAAACTTTGAGTTGTTCCCTAAGACATAAAAAATGCTGCTGACAAAGACTTAGTTAGAAAATCCGCTATTTGATCCACAACAAGAACATAATTGACTTGGAAAGACCCGTCCATAACTTTCTCCCTTAGAAAACAAAGGTCAAGCTCTACATGATTGAGTTTTGCATGATGAATTGGGTTAGTCGAACGTGCGACTGCACTTGTATTATTGTACCAAATAATAGGTGTTGAAGAGATATGTATATCTAATTCTGTCAACAAAGATTTAATCCACATAGCCTCGCACATAGCTTTAGCCAAGCTTAGAAATTCCGCTTCAGTTGAAGATCGAGAAACCACTGCTTGGTTCTTTGAACTCCATGCTACAAGATTCCCTCCAAGAAACATGCAATGGCCAGCAGTTGACCTTCAATTGTCTGAATTAGTTCCCCAACCCGAATCAGAATATCCGATGTAAGGACTAGAGCTACACTAAAAAATAAATCATGCTCCATTTTTCCTTTAAGATACTTGATAATCCTCTTACCACCTTCCAATGCTTGTCAAGGGGTGGCTACATAAATTGGCTTACCCTATTAACCGCAAATTGATTTAGAATTGATTTTCTCGATCACAATATCATCAACGTACACCATGATATAGACTTTGTGTCCATTAGATTCTCGAAAATAAAGAGAAGCATCGGCCAACGAAGTAGTAAATTGAAGACAATCGGAATGAAACGATTTAGATTTTTAAACCAGACACGAGGAGCTTGTTTAAGTCCATATAACGATTTTTTTAGTCGACAAACTAGCTGATTTCAATTTTCATTCACTTGCTCAAACTTCGACAGCGGTTCCATGTAAACTTCTTCACCTAAATCACTATTTAAGAATGCATTATTTACATCAACCTGTCGAAGTACCCATCATTTGCTAGGTGTTGTACTAAGTAAAATCCTTACTGTCACAGTTGTCATAACCATTTTTTTTAAAACAATTAAAATATTATTTTAAAAAAACAATTTTGACATTATTTGGAATATTGATGATTTTAAATTAATTTGAATTAAATTGAATGGGAGTCGCCATCGACTTTTGAGATAGGTAGGACGAATACTTAAAACGTCTTCTAAAACAATTTTAAGAAAATCATTTTGTAAGATAAAAATTGGTATGCGTTTACCAAAAATCTAATTTAATGGGTCTGGGAGTCGATTACGTGTGGGGAAGGATTAGCACCCCACAGCGCCCAAAATTAGTATTGTGTCGTTTACACTTCATCGTAAATGGTGGAAATTATAAATAGAATGTAAAGTTAAATTATGATTCATTTATTAAAATTTGATTAACTTAC